AGATTTTAAATCTCAGATCTGCTCAGGCGAAACCTGCTTTACAGCTCTCAGCACTCAAGCCTGCATTATTAACATAGGCAGGGCCAGTCTATTGATTGCGTGAAGTAGAACTGCGTGACTCAGTCATCCTTTAGCTCAAAAAGCATTTAAATACCGCATTTAGAAACTGATGAACTCAGTGTGCATCTGGACCCGGTGACAACATTACCTATTGACGCAGCAACCACTGTAAGTTATATTCTTGTTTAATTAGACTTCTCGGTTTCATTTATTCGACTCTGTATAATTGTTACTGTAGCTAAAACGGCTAAATCGCTTTTGAGAGATTTTAAATCTCAGATCTGCTCAGGCGAAACCTGCTTTACAGCTCTCAGCACTCAAGCCTGCATTATTAACATAAGCAGGGCCAGTCTATTGATTGCGTGAAGTAGAACTGCGTGACTCAGTCATCCTTTAGCTCAAAAAGCATTTAAATACCGCATTTAGAAACTGATGAACTCAGTGTGCATCTGGACCCGGTGACAACATTACCTATTGACGCAGCAACCACTGTAAGTTATATTCTTGTTTAATTAGACTTCTCGGTTTCATTTATTCGACTCTGTATAATTGTTACTGTAGCTAAAACGGTTAAATCGCTTTTGAGAGATTTTAAATCTCAGATCTGCTCAGGCGAAACCTGCTTTACAGCTCTCAGCACTCAAGCCTGCATTATTAACATAGGCAGGGGCCAGTCTATTGATTGCGTGAAGTAGAACTGCGTGACTCAGTCATCCTTTAGCTCAAAAAGCATTTAAATACCGCATTTAGAAACTGATGAACTCAGTGTGCATCTGGACCCGGTGACAACATTACCTATTGACGCAGCAACCACTGTAAGTTATATTCTTGTTTAATTAGACTTCTCGGTTTCATTTATTCGACTCTGTATAATTGTTACTGTAGCTAAAACGGCTAAATCGCTTTTGAGAGATTTTAAATCTCAGATCTGCTCAGGCGAAACCTGCTTTACAGGTCTCAGCACTCAAGCCTGCATTATTAACATAGGCAGGGCCAGTCTATTGTCGCCCGTCAGCTGTAGATAGTTAACTAATTAACTTCAGCTGTGAGAACTGAGCAATCAGGCGTCCATTTCGGGTAGCTCTTTCCTTGAGCGGCAGCTTCAGCGGCAGACAGGCTAAGACTGACAAAGACATTAGAGTCCTACGGGAGTAAGACTGACAAAGACATTAGAGTCCTACGGGAGTCACGAGGGAGGCAAAGAGGAGGCAAATCCTACTTTGATTGAGCTAAGTATCGTTGGCGTTTTTAATTTTTACTTTTGTTGTTTAGCCCCTCATGCTATAATCATGTGTATTTTCTCCATTCCTGTTCATGTGTCTTCTCGCAATTATCACTGGCCCCGTGTATCTCCTAATCGATATAACCGGCCTGCTCTCGTCTATCCCACGTGCTCCACTGAGATCCAACATCTAGTTTCAGGTGGCCTGTGGAACTGCCAGTCAGCTGTTCCTAAGGCTGACTTCATCTCTGGCTACACCTCCCTGCAGTCTCTGGATTTCCTTGCTCTCACTGAGACCTGGATTACCCCATCCAACACATCCACCCCAGCAGCTCTCTCCACTGCATATTCCTTCTCCCATACACCCAGACCCACTGGCAGAGGAGGTGGCACTGGTCTCCTGCTCTCTCCCAAATGGAGCTTTCCCTCTTCAAGCTACCTAACTTTACTCCTTCCACCTTTGAGTTCCATGCCGTCACAGTAACCCATCCTATACAGTTAACCATTGTTGTTCTCTACCGTCCACCAGGCGCCTTGGGGGACTTCTTGGAGGAATTAGATCATCTCCTCTCACACATCCCTGAAACTGGCCCTCCCGCTGTACTTCTCGGAGACTTCAACCTCCAGATGGGGAAGATAGACGAACTAACATCTCTGTTAACCGCCTTTGCTTTCTCACTCTCTCCGTCCCCACCGACTCATAAAGCTGGCAATGTCCTTGATCTCATATTCTCAAGGAACTGCGCTACTTCTAACCTCTCTGTAAACCCGCTCCACACATCCGATCACTTCTTCATTTCATTCTCTCTATCCCTTTCCAAACATAACAAACTAATCTCTTCCCATCCTACACTTGTCCGCCGTAACCTTCGCTCCCTCTCTCCCTCTACCTTTGCCTCGTCGGTGCTCTCAGCCCTCCCTTCCTCTGATTCGTTCCAACTACTGCCTCCAAACTCTGCTGCAGAAACTCTCCTCTCTACTCTCTCATCCACTCTGGACTCGCTCTGTCCTCTGACATCTCGGCAGGCTCGTCAGTCCCCTCCGGCTCCCTGGCTAAATGATGCACTGCGTGCTAATAGAACCGTCCTTAGGGCAGCAGAGCGGAAATGGTGTCTGGTTTTCAACCTTCCTAAATTCTCCCACACCACTCCGCTCCTCCGCTCCCTTCACTGGCTTCCGGTAACTGCTAGAATCCACTTCAAGACACTGGTACTTGCTTACCGTGCTGCGAATGGATCTGGCCCTTCCTACATCCAGGACATGGTTAAACCGTACACCCCAGCGCGTGCACTACGCTCTGCATCAGCCAAACGACTCGTTGCGCCCTCGCTGCAAGGGGGACCCAAGTTCCCATCGGCGAAAACACGTGGGTTTGCTATCCTGGCTCCAAGATGGTGGAATGAGCTCCCCATTGACATCAGGACGGCAGATAGCTTGCACATCTTCCGGCGCAAACTGAAAACTCATCTCTTTCGACTCCACTTCGAGCGTTAGAACGATTAACGAAGCACTTTTATACCAATAAAGGACTGGATTACCTAAAGCCAGTTGAGTAGCACTTGAAATGTTTGGCTCTATGAAACCTGATATACTTATATGATTCTGTTTTCTTCAAGGTTGTGTCTTCCTGGTCGAATGTACTTATTGTAAGTCGCTTTGGACAAAAGCGTCAGCTAAATGCAATGTAATGTAATGTAATGTAATTGATGGCTGCATCGTTACCAAACCTCTGAAGTTTTGGGCTGTTTGGAGCCTTTTCACTGAAGTTATGAGAAAACCGTGTTTCATAGCGAGCATTATGTTGCCAAGGCAACGGCATTTGAAGAAATCTCCAAATTGTCACGTAGATGTCTTCACGGCTGGACTGTTAGCACACATGTGACATTTGAGCACTTTTTGTCCATTTTCATAGGAGTTATGACAACATCGTGTTTTATGGCGAGGGATGCGTTTCCATGGAAACGGTATATGATGACACCCCATAATTGACATAGAGCTGTTAAGTGCCGGACCATTAACCATTATCTGAAGTCTGCTGCTGTTTTGACCATTTGCATAGAAGTTACGACAACATTGTGTTTTTGGCGAGGGATGGGTTGCCATGGTAATACCACATTATGTAACATCAGATTTGAAGTAGAGCTGTTCAGGGCCACAGTGTCAACCATCATGTGATGTTTGGTGGCGTTCTGAGCACTGGTCAGTTTGAGTTATGACATCATCACACAGGTGTTTGTGTTTGAGGTGACAATGTTATCAAACACCTGTGCTTGAGCCCAGAGATCAAAGGTTTCCATGGTGATGTGCAGTAATCAGTGAGAGGAAAGCCTTACCATCATTCTGAATGAGAGATAAACCTCTTACATGTGAACGTTTTGTTAAAGAACAGTAGCAGCTATCGATTTCAAAGTGTGCAGCTTGTCAGGACCCTGACGAGCGTCCGAGTCTGCTTTGTGTGTACTTTTGGGTCAATAATGTGGCCTTTTTGGCAGATTAACTAAAGGTGTGCGGCTACTGCTATGAGGAAAGATCAGGCTGAATTTACAATGGGCCTTAATGGAGACATGTTGAAAGTTTTTGTCACTTCATGCCCTCAAGAGACATTTTGTTTAATTTGAAAAATGATGTCCAAGTAGTGTAGGGTTTGGGAATTATGGCAGTTTAAAAAAATATATGAAGGCGAATTTCCAGCTCTCCTCCACTCTAGCTGTGACATCGCGCACTCTAGCCTTAACGAGCTGCGCAATACACACTAATGTTAAAATCTGAAGAAGGCCTCTTTACCAAGGTCTGAACAATGTTTAATATTTCTAAAAGTATGAATCAGATTTAAAAGTTGTGTAACACGAATAATGTCAGAAAGATGTGTAACATGTTTAAGTTAGAATGAGGTTTCTGAGTGAAAGTATGAAGTCGCAGTTAGCAGTTGAAGTCGCATGAAGATTTTTCAAGTCTGAAGAGTTTCTCCATTGACTTCCATGTTAAAAACTTGATGAATTATGGGATATATCTCTGGAAATATGAAAGTTATGAATGAGAAAAGTAATAGCCATTGATTCCCAGTCGAGCTGAACGTTTTGATGTTTGAATGGAGTTTATGCGATGTGGAATGTGGGAGAAGAAGAAGAGCAAAATAACCCGGTGGAATAAGAACAAAGAATTTGTGCGTAGAAGAACAAGTAGTTGGAATGCTGTATCAGCATTCCCACTAAATGAGATGTGATAAACAAATGCACAAAGAGCCTTCATGAAAATGTTAAATACTATTGTTTTACAAAATCAGTAGACAAAGACTGATTGCTTTTTCTAAAAATGGAAACAAAAAAACCAACAAAATAAACTGAGGGAGCTTTTCTCTATTTGGCCTTATTAAAAGGTCAAGCCAATACTGAAAAATTAACACCAAATGATGAATCTATTTAAATTCCACAGGAACTAGGTAAATGTCAGCTCAGATCAAACAGTGGAGGAAAGCAAAACCTGTCCTCCTGCTGAGAAATGACCGGTGAGGAGGATAAATGTGTTTACTGCCTAACATTAACGTCTCACTCTTTGATATTTAAACAGCGGGTGTTTGATCGGCAAACACTAACAAGGAGATCTCCTCAAAACATGACAATATGTTTGTGCTTTGCCTCAGCCTGAGGTCTTGTTTCGCTTAATCGCTTTTGCAGAAATCTGATTTTTCTTGTTCTGCCACATGAAAGCAGGCCCTCACCGCTGAGCAGAGGCCTGTTGAGGTTGAACTGCTGTGGCAGGTCCTCAATATCTGCGATGCGCTGGTACATGGCTCTGGAGAGGTGGTCAGCGTGGTAAAGGCTGCCAAGGATGATGCTGGAGAAGTAGATAGGCTCTGTGAAGTAGCTCATCAAAGAGCCCTGGATGCCCACCACGTTCCACCTGCAGAGGGAAAACAAACATGTAAGATAATTGGCTGGAAATATGCTGCCCTTCTGGTGATTATGAAGACATTTTATTTAAAAACTCAACACGAGGAAGCGTTGCGAGGAAAACAGAAAGTTTGTTTTGTTCCCCTCTGCTAGCTTGCGCTGCTTCATACAGTTGTTATCTGATTGGTCACACGTCAAATGGTCATTAGCAATGGAGGTAAAAGTTGTAAAACATTTGAACTTGAGCGCAGAACTCATCGGCAATTTTGAGTAGTATGCTAAGCCGAGGATAGGGTTTTTGGCCTAATTGGGCGGCAACGCTTTCTCTTTAGAAACACAGCGTCACTGGGAGCCGTTTCACCATTGATCATGTGATGGCAGGTTCACTAATAACATTTGGAAAAAGTCAACGAAATACCTTGGTTCCATTCAAACAAATTGAACATCTCAAAACATAGCAATAAGTTTAAACGATTTGGAAAAAATGCGACTGACGAAATCACGATATGATTCACAATATCAGGGATTGATCATTTCTTGCATCATAATTCTCCGTATCATTGAAATATACAGTATATTTAATTTATTATGGTGTAATTTTTTAAGAGGATCTGTACCAAACAACATGTTTTGTTAAGCCTGTAGAATATAATTTGTCTACTTTCTTTAAATGTTATTATATATAACTTTATGGTCATACTCAGTTATAACTTGCATCTGTTTTTCATTGCATTTTTTTTATTTCATACAAATCATTAGGGAAACTTTTTAGTTGATTTGTGCTTCCTGCAATATGATATTGGCTAGTCCGTATTGCAATTTAGATCGTACCCTCACCAATACGCTTCCAATATCAGCAACAAGAGTTTGATAACATAAACACAATGCATGTGTGAGCACAAACATCATATTTTCTACCAACGTTTTCTCCATTTTCCTTCTATTGGTTATTAGAAACTCCTTATTGTCCAACCATAAAAATATGCGTCATCATGACTTGTAGAAATTCATGTAATCAACCAATGAAGTGCCTGGAGACTGGTGACAACATGAAAAGGAGAGAAAGTTTCTTCAGCATTTAAAAAGTTTGGATGTTGAATATAGAAAGAAACACTGTACAGTATAATAGTGTGGTACGTGCACAAATGCACAGCCACAGAAGAAAAAATATATTAGCACATAACCAGCCAATGCAATCCAGCACACACAATCACCCATAATCCTACAGCTGTGTACACTCCGAGGTATCCAATTTCATTTTCTACAGACTTCTGTGTATTTCTACGCTGTGTCATTAGCCATCTCTCCACAGTCATTTTCCCATTGACATGCTCCATGAAGCATCACACAGAGAGAGGGAGTAAACAAGAAGAGAGCTACATAGAAATGAAAGACTTATAGGAATACTTCCCCCCCGAAATGATCATTCGTATGTCAATAACTCACCCCAGGTTACCTTGAACTCCTGAAGTACACTTCTCCTATGCCTTCATAGGCACAATGCATTGAACATTACAGCATGGAGACATGTCACAGTGGAGGCACTAAATACAAATATGAACTGGAAAATTGGCATAATAGGGCCCCTTTAAGAATGAGATAAAACAAATATGATACAAATATTTATACAAACAAATTACAAAGTTAAAGTGAGATCTGTATTGTCCGTCTGTTAAAATTAAGAGAAATAAGCCCTCATCCTTTGAGGCTGCATTTAAATTCACAAAAACAAGACATTGTGATGATGAGTTGTTGTCACTCTCTTTCACTTCAGGCAGACTGAGCGTGTGTGGACCTGGAACAATGAGAAATATGCAAGCATAAGACCCCAGGCTACTCAGAGATACAATTGCCTCCATATGCAATATTCTCTGTCTTTATATATGTGTGTGTGTGTGTGTGATATTGTGGGAGAAAATGAGGGAGGGCAAAATGAAATCTCGGAATTCATAGCTACGAGCGGTAAAGCACAGTCAAACAGCTTCATAATATTACACACACACACACACACACACACACACACACACACACACACACACACACACACACACACACACACACACACCACACCACACACACACACACACACACACACACACACACACACCACACACACACACACACACACACCACACACACACCACACACACACACACACACACACACACACACACACCACACACACACACACCCACACACACACACACACACACACACACACACACCACACACACACACACACACACACACACACACACAACACCACACACACACACCACACCACACACACACACACACACACACACACACACACACACACACATGCTGTTCTGAATTTGTGTCTGATGGGTTTATTGGACTTATTGAAAGCAAAATGAAAGGTTTTTTGTTCCTTCTCTTTGCGAATTATCTACTGTATATTCTGTTGTTATGAGAACACACTTTTTAACTTTCTTTGAAAGGGACTAAGGGACTATTAAAATATTGTATTAGTACTTTTGTAATGTTGTTTCTTACTCCACTCATTCTCTATACCTGTATATTGTAACTTGTAACATTACTTATGCTGCAGCACTTACTGCACTTTCTGTTAATTATATTACTATATGCACTTATTTGGATATTTGAGTGTCTACCAATCAGAGGATTAATCATTTGATCCCTTTCCCTACAGTCAACATATTGAAGCGTCCTTAACCCTAAATTGCTACTGTCATCATGTCTAGGGAATTTAAGTGTAAGCTTTGGATAAAAGGCTCAGCTAAATGACATGTAGTGTAATAAAATGCAATATATGCATAGATGCAACTATAAAATATGTCATGTTTTTTCTTGTTATCTAGTCAAGTTTGAGAAACAGAAAAATCCCAAATGATTACATTTCTGGCATCTAACTTATTTTCCCTCTACTGACTTGGATCCCAGCACTTTCGGACAACCGCACACAATCGGAGTCACTAGCAGCAGCACTGACACTGCAAAATATTTCAACACAGTGCAAAACGCATCCCTGACCACATCTCCCTCATCAAATAGTTCCTCAGCTTTCAATCACTCCCTGCGTTCATGCGAGGTAAAACCATCCCGGACTGAGGTGGAAGGAGAGTAAGAAAAAAAGGGCTCTGGAGAAGAGTTATGGAGAAGTTGTATCGTCCATCACAAGCCAGGAACAGTGTTGCCTTGAACATGGACAGAGACTAAAGACGCCATGATCTGCAAGGAAACAATGCCCCGGGGACAGAGCATCCATCACTGTAGCTGCCCCTGACTCTACTGAAATAAAAGACGATAGACTTGGAATGACAGAGCGAGGATACAAATGCAATTTATTGCAGTATGAGTAAATAAAACACATAAAAAGAGTATCATAAACTATATGTGGACACAAAGTTCTAAGTATTGAGTACTTTTGCAATGATTAGTTGATCAGAAGAAAAATGATTTTGATAATCGTTTATGTAATATTTCATGCAGAAATAGCAGTAAAGGCTAATTAAACCATCCATTATTTTATTTTGTCTGTTTTATGTTGAGCAAAATACAATTCAAATATATTTTTGGGTTTTGGACTGACGGAGACATATCTACTTTAAAGTGGACCTGTCATGCTATATTTGAATAATATATTGTAGGGCCATACCTTTGTAAAACATGCCTGCAATTTCTTTTTTTCAAAATACCAAACAGATCATGCATTTTAGCCATGCCTCATTTCGCTCTATTTGCTCTTTTTTAGCCCTGTTTTTGCAAGGGCTGAATCTGTGAGAAGTCTTCTTCGCTGCTTTTGTGGGACACTACAGCGCCACCTACAGGCCTGGCATATGTACTACAGCGTCTCCAGCGCTTTCGAATGGCCGTGGCTGTCTCCTCCTGATAGGAGGAGAGTTGCCCATATAGGCGGAGCTCCTCGTTTCTGACGTCAGAGATATTTCAAATCTGTATCAGTCTGTATCAGATCCGTTGCAGCCCCGTTTTTAGAGATTTGGGTATGGAGGAAAAGAGAGAGGGTTGTGTTTTCTGACACTTGGTACAAAATTGCATTTTGCATGATAGGTCCCCTTTAAGTATATGTAGCAAAATGTACACTCTGCTTGAAGAAATAGACATCTTCTGATATTTTTGCAGATTTTTGAGAAACTCGCTCTAGAGGGAACTTTGGGACACTTCAAGTAAAGGGAAAACCTAAGAAGCACAATAGGTCCCCTTTACATTTCCCAAAATGTTCATCTTTTGCCCAATGAGGTGTACACAATAATTACAAAAATGCAATAAACTAGCTGCTTGTTAGAACTAAGTAATAACATGAAATAAAATACATATTAAATTCACATTCACTGTCCAACAGTGTTAAAGGTGTGCTGAGTTTGAGGCACAGTACCTTGCGATCTTGTCACTGCAGGACATGGTGAGTAACCTCTCCCCCTGCAGCACCCCGTCCCACGTCTGGATGGTGTTGCTGGACCTCACAGGGATGGTGCCCTCCCCCGACTCAATTTTGGTCCTTAACTGGCCCCGTGCTTTCCTGTTGGGATGCCTGTCCCCTAGGTCTGAGCGGAAAAACACAAGTTGAAAGATATTTAAAAAAATACATCCACAAAAGTATTAAACTCTAGAGGAGTTACGAACTAGATAGAAACAATGCATTCCTATCAATGTGCAAAAAACTCCTCAATAAAAGACAATCTTAAAAAAAAACTAAACATGGAAAAATGAATTCCACAAAAGCATGACCTATTATTTATTATTATGTTATCAATGTTTTCTGGTGTTCCACCACCAGGCGCCATCTATTCAGTGACTAATTGAATGTGGCTGTTTTCTATTCACTCTGGCATGTGCAACGGGAAACACTATGACAGGAGTAAGAGGGAGGTTAATCACACAGACAGTGTGGGGGAGCCGGGCGGGGGGAGGCTGATAGAGACAGACAGCGAATGACAAAAAGCTCTAATTACTAGAGCCTTGTTTAAATGTGTCTGTGATGCGTATTCGGATTTCTGGAGCACAATTCTAATTAAATGAAACCAAGCATAAGAGGAAAACCTACACATTTAATTAAATAAAATAAACTGTTGAATCTGTATTCTAAACTCGGATGAAATTAAAAACACGAGCTGAAGAGAGGCAGGGGTTGTTGTGAGGCAGCGAACGGACAATCTGCTATCCAGTGGTGGAAGAAGAAGAAGTGATATACCTTAGCAAAATGAGTAATGCAAAATGGTTAAAACTCTGTTAACACTAAAAGTCCTGTATTCAAAATCTTTATTCAGTATAATAACACAGGTTGAGGAATCAAATTATACTGAAAGTACCAAAAGTACATCAACTATTTATGCTAGTGGCCTATTTTAGAATCATAGTTTATAGAAAATGACTTGACAATGAATATTATTATTTGTACTTTATTTGATTATTTGTATAAATGAGTTGGTTAATACACATCCTTTGTTCAAAATACAAACCTTTTTTTTTGTATACAGTACAAATAAAGCAAAAAATGTAAAATCAGTTTTTCTTACACTAGATAGTAAACTAGAATGCTTTTCAGCCATATACCTTGAACAATTGAATTCAATGATTCTTTCTTCTAAACCATCAACGTGTATCTTAGACCCAATTACAACTAAGCTGTTGAAGGAAGTTTTTCCATTAATTAGCACTTCTTTATTAAATATTATGAATATGTCTTTATTATCAGGCTATGTTCCACACTCATTTAAAGTAGCAGTGATAATAGCCTCAGACAAAGGACTTGTCTCTATTCTTGTCTTGCTTGATCTCAGTGCTGCATTTGATACTATCGACCATGATATCCTATTGCAAAGACTAGAGCATAAAGGGAACTGCTTTAGGCTGGTTTAGGTCCTATCTGTCTGAACGGTATCAGTTTGTGTGTGTGTCAACGATGAATCTTCCATGCAAACCAAAGTGAGCCATGGAGTGCCACAGGGCTCAGTGCTTGGACCTATTTTGTTCACATTATATATGCTTCCGTTAGGCAATATTATAAGGAATTATTCTGTACATTTCCATTGTTATGCAGATGATACTCAACTACATCTATCCATCAAGCCTGATGAATCCAATTATCTAAATACAATTCAAGACTGCCTCAAAGACTTAAAATCGTGGATGACCTTACATTTTTTTCTGTTAAACACGACCAAAACTGAAGTTATTGTACTCGGCCCAAAGAATCTACGAAACAAACTATCTTAAGATATATTAACTATGGATGGCATTCATTTGGCCTCCAGTGAGACTGTAAGGAATCTTGGATCTTGGTGTTCAATTTTATCAGGAGTTATCCTTTAACGCCCACATAAAATCAATCTCAAGGACCGCCTTCTTTCATCTACGTAACATTGCAAAAATCAGGCATATCTTGCCTCAAAACGATGCAGAGAAACTAGTCCATGCATTTGTTACTTCAAGGCTGGATTATTGTAACTCTTTATTATCAGGGTGTACCAAAAAGTCAGTTAAGTCGCTTCAGCTAATTCAAAATGCTGCAGCACGTGTACTGACCAGAGTTCGGAAAAGGGACCACATTACTCCAGTTTTGGCTGCCTTACACTGGCTCCCTATAGAACACAGGATATCATTTAAAATTATTCTTCTCGCCTACAAAGCCCTTAATGGGCGCCCTTAATGACTGTGTCCCCTTTGAAATGTTCTGATAATCTTTAAGCAATAAAACTGCAATTCCGTTTTCAAATATCAGAGCAGGGATAATCCTACGCTCTGAAGCAAGATTGCATGCGCAAAGACGCACCTTTTTTTGTTAACATGAGTGTGTGCGGGACGATTTCCCTTCGATTCTATTGGCTCTAACGGTCAAGAAGATATGTCACATGTCAAAATCGAGCAAGGGGGGCCAGAGATAAGGAAAATCCACCCAAATGGCCCCAGAAGAGGTTTTTTTTTGCTAAATAATTATAATAATAGATTTAATTTGTTAGCGCTTTTACAGGTGCTCAAAGACGCTTTACAGATATAGTGAAGAGAAAAGAAAAGGAAGGAACAACAAATAAATATATAGTTAAAGTTAAAGTCAAATAATACAAAAACAATCACACATTAAAAGCCAGATTGAAGAGGTGAGTTTTTTGAAGGTGGTGAGGTCAGTGCAGTCTCTGATGGGTTGTGGGAGTGAGTTCCAGAGGGAGGGTGCAGCGACGGAGAAGGCTCTGTCCCCCTAGGTCCGGTGATTGGTGCGAGTGGGGATGGATAGGAGGTTGGCTTCTGATGAGCGGAGGCAGCGGGAAGGGGCGTGGTGGTGCAGCAGGTCTAAATCTGTCTAAAAAGGTCAAATATCACTTGTTTTGCATCAATCTTGATACAGGGTACTTATTATATGTTGTACTTTGGATTCCTAAAGCTTTTAGTCTACTAACCCATCATCCAAGGTTAGTTTTCACTATAAGTACAACATATTCTTTGGACGGACACTATAATTTACAGTTTTTTAAAATCTGAATTTTCTTTAAAACAAAAAACATCTATATTGATTCTGACTTTTCTACATCCAAATCACAGGTTTATCATTACTTTGAGAAAAAAGATGATTAATTTAACCCTTTTAGAAGGGAAGATATGGTCATTTGTTCTGGGAATGTAATGTTCGAGCCTGAAACCTGAAAAACAGGCTTGGGGCTTAACAGGTTAAATGAACATGCCCTCATACACTGTTTCCTGCAAGATGTTGCGGGAGGGCCCCGGTACCGGGGTCTGTCGGGCTTAACCGGTTAAAGAACTCATTATACCCTACTGTCCTACCAGGGCATTACGTTCCAAGAATGCAGGGTTGTTGGTTGTTCCTAGAGTCTCTAAAAGTACAATGGGAGCGGGAGCCTTTTCTTATCGAGCTCCACTTTAGTGGAATCAGCTTCCAGTTTGTGTTCGGGCGTCAGACAGTCTATCCGTTTTTAAGAGTACGCTTAAGACCTTCCTTTTTGATAAAGCTTATAGTTGATAAAATCATCTAATAAGAGGGCATTGACGTAGACACGTTGTGCCTCTTCACCTATACATCTTAGTTCTTACTCTTTTCCCTCACTGATGGTATATATGTAATTTGGTTGTGTGTGTAGACGGTGGAAGCAGGGAGAGGCATATACGTGCCTTGATCCCTGCAGAGTTGACGCAGAACTGTTGATTGGTGTCAGTGCCAAAAACACATTTTAGGAGCAATGCGCTCATGGTATAGATGTCATTTGGTTGTGTGTGTAGACGGTGGAAGCAGGGAGAGGCATATACGTGCCTTGATCCCTTCTGAGTCGACGCACAACTGTTGATTGGTGCCAGAACAACTTTTTAGGAGCAATGCGCTCATGGTATAGATGTGGCGCATACATCTTAGTTCCTACTCTTTTCCCTCACCCTATCCTAAGAGAGTGCATGTACGTAGACACGTTGTGCCTCTCCACCTCTGTTCCTTACTTCTTACCCCTTTCTCTCAATCTATCGTAAGGGAGTGCATGTACGAAGACACGTTATGCCTCTCCACCTCTGTTCCTTACTTCTTACTTGCTACCCCATTCCCTCAACCTGTCCTAAGGGAGTCCATGTAGACACTAGAGATGTTAAGATTCACCGATTCGCATCGGGGTACCGGCATAAACGTTCAGATGCGAGTGCACCGGTTGAAAAGAGTGCACATCGGCTACAGTTTGGGTTGAACCGGGTTGAACTCGCGATGCATCGATTGCGTAGCGTCTTTGCATCGGTAAAAAAACCGATTCATTCATATAAAATCCCCTCATCTTGTCAACGCTCAGTAGAGACGATCTTTGATATTTGCTTTTCCACTACGGAGGTCGAGAGTCTCAGTTATCAACACACACGGAAGTTGAGGAGAAAGAGAAACACAGCGCACCGAAACCTACAAATCAAACGTTTGGCAACACTTCGGATTGTTCAAGAAAGACGGTGTAATAGTCCTTTATGCTATATAGTTGACCGCAGGTCATGGAGAGTAATAAGGTATCCGTAGACCTTTGTATGAGGTATCTTTATTACTTAACAGGTCTACAGCCATGATACATAGATCCGTCCTAGATGCGGGCTTGCATACACACAGTATCACTCCGCAGCCGCACCCCATCAGTAACGTCCTGATGGTATATGTGCGCGGCACTATATACTACAGACGGTCAACTTGAAAAATCGCTCGCAAATTGTTAACGATGCCGAGCCGCTTTAAAGTACACAAGTAGTACGAGGAACTTAGCGACGCACATAAAGAGGCGACATAGGGTCTGCGGCTGAAAAGAGAAACCTGAAAGTTAGACATATGAGTTAAATCACTCAGTGAGGTGTTCTGTCAGAGAGAGTGGTGTTTAGTTTACAGCAGCCTGTGACGGCAAATAATAATTTAAATGTCTTTCTTACTGTAAGCAGTTATGAAATACCTGTTTGTGAAAGGTTATTTGTATTCTTTATTGTTCATATAGAACCCACTGCTTTCTGCTCACTGGTGAGTTAGCCTATGAATGAGTGTTAAGCACATCAGGCTGGCAGCTGTATGGGCATTGCAATATGGTAGCTGTTATTTGCACATTGTTAATCATGAGCAATACATCCTTACATTGTTTAACTGTGAGGTGTTATACAATTGTACTCTGGAGAGCTTTTAAAGGTAAAAAAATAAACGGCATGATGGGATGTGCAGTACCAAATATGTAAAGCACTTTTTTGTTAATGTATGATTTGCTGCATATAAGGAATGAAACAAAAATCCTCTGTCGTACCATATTGAAGTATCATTATTTTTGCATCGTGTTGAATCGCATCGTATCGCACCGAATCGCATAATGTTGAATCAAATCGTATCGAACTGTATCGCAACAGGGGTGAATCGTATCGTATCGCATCGCCTGGTGTTTCAAATGTATCGTTAATGTATCGTATCGTGGCAACGTATCGAGATGCGCATCGCATCGGCCTCAGTGATGGAGATGCACATCCCTAGTAGACATGTTAGTTTTGCTGCTATACTGTAGGCTTAGACTGTCGGGGGACACCTTATTTCTTCCTTCTGTCTGTCTGTACCTGTGTACTCTCATGTTCCGAATAACCCAGCTTCCCCAAATTAATTGTTGGTGTCTATCTATGCCGGGATCCTGAATCATGGCTGATCCTGTTGCTGCGGTCCTGTGTCCTGGATCCTGAGTCATGTGTCCTGGATCCTGCATCCAGTGTCCTGGATCCGGAGTCCTGGATCCTGAGTCCTGGATCCTGAGTCCTGGATCCTGAGTCCTGGATCCTGAGTCCTGGATCCTGAGTCCTGGATCCTCTATCCTGAGTCCTGGATCTGAGTCCTGGACTTCGAGTCGTGGCTGAACTGTGGTCCTGCCTGACTCTAATCATAATACTTCCCTGATGGCTCCCACAGGATTGTTGACATCCTTCTTTTTACATTACATTACATTGCATTTAGCTGACGCTTTTATCCAAAGCGAATTACAATAAGTACATTCGACCAGGAAGACACAACCTTGAAGAAAACAGAATCATATAAGTACATCAGGTTTCATAGAGCCAAACATTTCAAGTGCTACTCAACTGGCTTTAGATAAGCCAGTCCTTTATTAGTATATAAGTGCTTTGTTAATAGTTCTATCGCTCGAAGTGGAGTCGAAAGAGATGAGTTTTCAGTCTGCGCCGGAAGATGTGCAAGCTATCTGCTGTCCTGATGTCAATGGGGAGCTCATTCCACCATCTTGGAGCCAGGATAGCAAACCCACGTGTTTTTGCTGATGGGAACTTGGGTCCCCCTCGCAGCGAGGGTGCAGCGAGTCGTTTGGCTGATGCAGAGCGTAGTGCACGTGCTGGGGTGTACGGTTTAACCATGTCCTGGATGTAGGAAGGGCCAGATCCATTCGCAGCATGGTAAGCAAGTACCAGTGTCTTGAAGTGGATTCTAGCAGTTACCGGAAGCCAGTGAAGGGAGCGGAGGAGCGGAGTGGTGTGGGAAAATTTAGGAAGGTTGAAGACCAGACGAGCCGCTGCATTCTGGATGAGCTGCAGAGGTCGGATGGCACATGCAGGTAGACCAGCCAGGAGGGAGTCCTTCTTATTATAGACACATGCATTTACAAACATTTGGTCTACCTATGCTGTAAAATGTATTATCTCTTCGATTTACACACTGCATCTATTGCACTTCTGTCCGTCCTGGGAGAGGGATCCCTCCTCTGTTGCCCTCCCTGAGGTTTCTCCCATTTTCCCCTTTAAACTGTGGGGTTGTCTCTGGAAGTTTTTCCTTGTACAATGTGAGGGTCTAAGGACAGAGGGTGTCGTATTGTCATACTGATATTCTGTACAAACTGTGAAGTCCACTGAGACAAATGTAACATTTGTGATATTGGGCTAAATAAATAAACATTGATTGATTGATCTTACGTGAAAGAAAGAAAGAAATATTATTAAATGAAAGATTTAATAAAAAAATAAAATCATTATCAAACAAATTCATAATAACATTAATATTAAAAATACATAATTAAATTAAAAGGAGTAATATTTAGAGTTATATTAAGATTACATCTGTTTATGTACTACATAATGATTATTGATGCATTAATGTTTCTATCACAGCTGGTAAAGATGGAGCTAATATTACTTACTTCGTATAATGCAATGGGATATTTTAACTTTAATAATATGTCCGTGTTTATTTATTCATTGATGTTTGTGTTTTTATTTTTAGTGTAATTTGTAACTTAACCTGATGGAGTAAAAATAAATATATAGGCATCCAAAATGTAGTGGAATAGAAGTATAACATGATCATTAAAGTTAAGTACAGTAAAATACAAGTATCTCAAAATTGTACTTAAGTACAATACTTGATTAAATGTACTTCTTTACATTCAGTACCTTCTACTCCGGCCTCATGTGGAGAGAAGATCCTGGCATCTCCGCAGGGCGAGGTGCTGATGTAGAGGTGGAACTGAATGTTGTCCTTTAACTTGTAGCCTCCCTTTTCGCACGACAAGAATATCGACTTGTTGTTGTCGTCTTTGCTGTGGTTGTGACAAAGATATAAGAGACAAATTAAGACCACCCTCACAATCAGCATTGTAGATCATTCACTAACTCAGAAAATGAGGTGCCGTCCACTGACCTGAGGAATAACTCTAGCTGGGTGTAGAGGTACCTGATGAGCGAGCGTCGGGCGATTATCTCAGCGTGGCAGTCGTTGAGGGCCAGCCCGCGGTCACTCATGTACTCACCGTTGATGCATTTTGTTCCTGTGGAAACACAAATGACCTGTGCTTCCTTCACATCGGTCCCTGTTGGGGGTAAAGGGAACCAAGACATGAGTATTTACACACTCATCTTCAAGAACATACTGTACATGTGCTACTGCTCTATATTGAGTTTTAATGCCCTTAATAGGACAAAGTGAGATCATCTGCAAACTGTCATATAGTTATATTTGGATTTAGTTTTAAAGGCCAACTACTGTCCTTGTCTAACACTGCAGTGACTGTTTTCACATCCATCTGCTGAAGGTGGAAAGTCTTTCTGTGCTCAGCTTGAGTCTTACCTTAAGTTCATACAGTACTGTATACAAGCATGAAAACGTCAAGGTGAGAACTTGGCGCCTCAAGGACATTGAGATTTGACTTGTCAGCAAAGTAGGGGACATGTTGTGTACAGCACTTACATTTTGGAAAGTAATTTGCATATTAATTAATGTTTTAAGATTTTTCACTGAGGGAGAATTACTAAATATTATTGGTTCTAACTTTAAAATACAACTTTTTGGGATTTTTTTTAAACCTCCAAACAGAGTATGTTGTGTCATAAACCATTGAAAAGATCGATAAATATAATATGTACCATTACTATAACAGTGAGAGCTGTTTAAGTTCATGATGTTTATTTGTGTGTAAAATGTTTTGAGTGCCAAGGACAGATTGAAGAAAAAAGTGAAATACAAACATATATATATAAATATAAAATACTTCAGTACAGTTATACCACTGGTGAGAAAACTGGGTGATGATAAATGTTGTAGCATATGGTTAAAAAAAGGCCATTAGATTCTGACCAAACACGGCAAATATATACGTAGTTGTAAATATTGTCCACTTTTTTCTATGAGTTTTGCAACTTAAATTACTCCTTTAGGTAAACCTTAAGAATGTTCTGTCAGTGCCAGATTTTGTAAATATAACAGACCGTATTTCCCCCTCAAATCTACCTGTAGTCATGACGACCCCTGCTAGGACTTTCCGCCGTGCATGTGGAGAGGTGAAGTTTTCTGTCAGCTCGCTGAACTTATCCACCACCAGACGAGAGACTGCATCAGCCAGAACCTAGAATCACACACATACATACACACAGCCACACAAACACGAGCTTGTGTCAGTTATGTCAGTTTACAAAAGCGCATCTGATGTTATCCTCCCCTAGAGCACCGTGTACCTGTCACAGTGATCACATTCAGCTCCAAACAAGCGTCAGAGCGTTGAAACGGCAACAAGTGAAACTGGGTTTACCCCCTGAGGTATACCTAACCCTCTTTCAAGCAACACAGTTTGAGTTCCGCATGACAGTGAAAAATTCCTACCTCCCTTCTGTCAGCGAAATAAAAAGAAAACAAGTAAACCCGAACTACACATGTGAACAATAGAGTTTTGTTGACATTCCGTAAGATTTTAAACTCGTGTCTTAACTCTTCACACCTATTTTGTTCTTAGATTGCCGCATCCTCTTGCTGGCTCTTTATCCATTGCTAATGTGATGGAAAATGACGACAACCAAGAGGGGAGATGACGGCTGGATGACCACAAATTAAAGAGATTAGCCCAATATTACTTCCCTGCTACTTTAGAGTCACCCACTCGTAGCGGGATCATTTGACTTTCGAATGTACCAAGGTCGGCTATGGTGTAGGAATGACTGTTCATCTCTAGGGTTACAAAATAGCGGACTACATGTCAGAAAATGTGTCCTTTTAGGAGGATAAGAACACCAATTTTCCTTTTACATCCCTAAATAAGTCTTTGATGTATTTTACAGTTCGGGCGCCAACAAAAAACATCTATTGAACTTAAGTTATCATTTTTTTTGCAACTGCAATGGACTGCGTTCCCATTAGTTCTCGGCCAGATGGAACCAGGCGGCAGAAATTAAAGACCAAGCGACAGAGAATTAATAGAGCAATTAGTGGGGGCGCTATCGTTCGAATGGGCTTCTTGTCGAATAAATCAGCTGACAAGTGGAGAGAGCGAGTAAAGAGAAAAAAGGGGGTTGGATGGGGGGGACTGTTGACAGTGTGCTGTGCTGATTAGCTTTGCCAACTGTGTTATCTCTTTGAGCACACTGCCACGGCTCTGACAGTCACCTCTACATTGGCATCAAAAGCGGGCCCCAATCCTTAGTCCCTGCATACCTGATGGGAATAATTTTGTAGTGGTATCCTTCTAGAAACACATTGCTTGACAGGTGTAGGGTTAGGGTTGTATAGTTCTGTCAAATACTTGAGTTGTAACTGACCTTATGATACCATTTTGACATTATCTTAAAAGCCATCCATTTTGGAATACACTCGTTCGGAAGAAGTGTGTAATTCATTTGAGAACAAGTGATTTACCTAGGAAGACCGAAGATATGAACCAAGCACTGAAATCTTGATAATCGGATTACAATGTGTATCTCATCTGGATCTAATGCATGTTGTTAAAAACTGATGTGTTTTTACAGTCTAACCCATCTTAGCATTTGGGATTTTAACTTTATCTTTTTTTCGACCCCCTCCTTAAATTCTAATTAGCTTTTCAAGTATACTGATGATTGACAAGGTTGAGTGAATTCTCAAATGAAATCTTCAATCATGTTATTACGTTATTAAATTGAAAGGCAGATAACACATAGATTAGGGATCTGCTGTAAATCGACAAATTAGAACAATAGCCCGCAACTTTAAGAGTTCATTCCAGTAATTATGACTTTGAAGTGTAGAACTTCTTAAAAACTACAAGGTAACTATAAAGCCTTGCATTCCTCATGTTGGCTTTTAATCATGGTATTCTTACAAGCTCTTTTTCAACCATGGTCAATGGTACTATATAATGAATGACTTACAGGCATGACACATCCTATAAAACATGATAACTGCTTGTTTTGGAAGATTTATTCTGGAAAAACCGTAACCGCTTCTTTCTTAACGCTTACCAGAAATCCAAATGAAGTCTCAGCAATCCCACTGGAAGAAGTTTGGATCGGCTTTATGGACCATGCTCATGTTTTTTGGTCTTGTCCATGTAAACGATTTTTAGAAATAAGGGGGCCTTTTAATCTAAGAGATTCTACACCTAATATCCTTATTTTATCTGTCTTCCACCTTTTTGAACCTTGGAAGTATCCCGAAAAGTCATAAAAGCAATATATAGATTTTGAGGGTTATCGTGGCCGCAAGTAAAATAAATCCATTACAAAACGCTGGTTTAAGAAGAACTCCCCGTACATTGCTCTTCATAGTAAGCTTATGAACTCTATTTGCTTAATGGAAACAACTACTTTTACACTCCGAGCCCAAAAGGAGAAGTGGGATAAATATTGGGGAAAAATCAGATATCTTAAAAATCTCACTTCCTAACCCTTTTCTGAACACAAAAAACATAACATTACAAACATAATACAGCAGTAACTCAAGATAACAACCCCTAGAATGGGTGTCTTTGGCTAGTTAAGTTCACAAATCAATGTGCACTAAAAAATAATTCATACCTCTAAGGCCTTTGAGACATTACATAGTTGCATTTCTGTTTAATGGCAATGGCAAACTATATAGAAAATAAACATCTTACCTGGGGTAGATGAAGCTGCAATCCCTCACTCGGAATGGGTTGCCGGGATGGTGTCTGGTCTAGCTGCATGTTGAAGAGAGTAGAGAGGGCGGCCTGCGCTGCCCGGGCTTTAGCCAGCTTCTTGTTGCGCCCTGAGCCTTCAAACATCTGTGTATCCACCGTTACTGACATCACAAAATTCTTGGCATGACTTTCCCCGCTCTCTGAGACAAAGTCATACTTGAGGCCTGGCCTGAGCTCATTGAGGATCATGACTGGGTTTTTACCACTGGAAGGGGAACTGAATATCGACAGAGGGGGCAATGGGGCCTGGACAAGGTTGCTGCCAGGAGGTGTGGGAAGTGGGTACTCCCCTAATGAGTTTAAGGAGCTGTTACCATTGGAGCCTAGAAAGAAGGCCTCTTCAGGTGCGGCTGGCGTTTCAAAGCCATTGAAGAGCATGTCAGGGAAGTCGGCTTGGTCAGATGTAAAGTCTGTGTTCACTGTCAGTGTTCGACCCATGGCCAAGTGCGCCTCAGAGGCATTGGGGAACTGGACGAAGGAACGCAGGGCTTTCTCTGCTGCATTTAATTTGGCCTTCTTTTTAGTGGGGCCCATGCCCTCAAACATCTGTCCATTGACCTCAACAGTCATGACAAAAACTGGTGCATGTACTGGTCCCGTCTGAGACAGCAGTTTGTACTGTAGACCCGGTTTGATTTCGTTCAACTGCATCAGAGCATTCTTGGGCAGGACCGGCCCCGGCGTTTTCTTGCGCTTCTTGGCCCGGAACTTGGAGTGTGTGTGCCCATTGTTCCCCTCTTCCAGGGGACGTTTGCGACTGCCAAGGCCGCTTCCATTGGGGAGCTGTTCAGCCACTCCCACCCCATCTTTGCAGGACACGTTGTCCAGGTTTCGGTTTTCCTTAACATCTGTGCTGCTCGAACCTGCGGTGCCCAGAAAGAGTAACTTACAACGCCTTCGTTGCAGGATCTTGTAAATGCAAAATTTATAGATTCCTTTATCACTCTTTGGAACTGAACCAATGATTTGTGTTCCTTTATGAAAGCAAGAGAAGCTTTAATTGGATTGAGCATTTAACCTATAGTACGTTGTTATGACTACGAAGAGTCAGAGACAATCAGTACATCTACTGTTGTTTATGATATCCCAAGTTCTTAAAAACGGTCATCATTCAAAACAGGATAAGGACTATATGTCACTATGTTTGACTATATTTAGTTTTTTGATTTTTAAATGAACTTGTTATATATATCTTCATAACACAAAAGTTGTTATTCTGAAGGTCAGGGTAAATTGGGAGAATTATATTTGCAATTAAACACTTCCTGTACTTCTCAGGTAAGTGTTGATCTCAAACAATAATGCACACAAATACACACATATCCACGCTTAATATGGACGCACACAAAGCTGTTCTTCATCCACTCTGTCAATTTTTTAATCGCTTGAGTGCCTACAGAGAAATTAGGTACATTTTAAATGTTCAGTTTGAAACTGCAGCTCCTGAAATACACTCTACTGGGGAACACATATCACTGAATCCAGTTAGCAAAGTGGATGGAATATTGGCAAAAATTTTCATTTATAACATCCTTCAGCAAAGGCTTGATAGGTTACTCCTTGCGGTACTCAGGAGAAAGAAAGGCCGCAGTGTGCATGAGTGGGATTGTAGGTTGGGTTTAGGGAGTGCAGGGGAGGAGTGCAGGGGGAGGAGCTGAGGACCAGGTAAACAGGAGGATACATCAAAGAGGCAGGAGGAGAAGACTCCACCTACTGCAGGATCCTAAAGTCTTGGCTGGTGACACGGTGGGAGGTTAAAATGCCTTACACCCGTTTTACATAAGATTTTGAAAGGAATGACTGTCGTATTCAGAATGAGGAATTAGAGATCTGTATCTAATGAGGTGCCATTCATAAGACCCTGCGCCTCTGAGATCCCCCCCATGGAGCTTGTCAGAGAACAAAGTGTTATAGGTTGCCAAATGTACTGACATGCCGTTACCATCTGCATACAACAGTTGACATGTCTAATAAAAAAAGGCCTAAAGTTAAGAACACAAACTGCATATCCTTCAACTCACAAGCAATATCTGCACTTTAAACATGCAATATTTATTTTGGTGTGCGTGCATTCTGAAAATTGCTTTTATGCAAATATGATTTTTGCTAATAAATGTAGGAAAAGAGGGACTGTGCACAACAGTAGCGGAAAATAATGGTGAAAGGTTAAATGTGTGTTGGACAGGGACTCAATCTCAGCCAAGGACCTTTAACCACCACATATGCTGCAGCAATAGTTGAGTAATTTAGGCAAGTCAAATGAGGACTTTCTAAATGAATTGTTTTATAATATTCAGCACGTAGCACTGCAGCTCATTATGTTTCATTATGAGTGCATAGACTTTTCGGCTACTGCAAATGTGGGAAGTCCATTACATTTAATGCATATTGTTCAATTGTTTATCAAGCGATCAATACCTCCAATAAAACAGTTATATTTGTGGGAGTATAGAGATCAATAGGTCAATCGAGAAAAATGCAATCACACACTGAAAAACTGTAACATGCTGCACAGAAAGAAAAACAGTAAATATAATGGCACACCAAAGAAAAATAAACTGGAGTTCCTTTTTTCTGTTAGACAATGTATCATTCAACACTTTCTCTGCAGAGTTAAAAATTAGTTTTATCGTATATATTTTCTTGAAGTGTGAGGGATATTGGTAATATCAGATCAGAGGAAAAAAGCCATTGAGTAAAACAACCATGACACCATGCATTAATTATGGCACACACATGCAGTCGGGGCCATTATCATGCCAGCGTCTGTGTAATCAGTTCCCATTATTTATGCAAAACACAAATCATCCCATATGGTTGGATCTGCTGAAGTTTAAATTCCCTTGGGGGGGTTGCACAATCTTAAAAATACAGGAGAAATATTGTATCACAGCTTTATTTGAACTTGTTTGATTCAGAGATGATTCATGTGATTAAAGAATGTCACGAAATGCAAAGGTTGTCACATAAAATATAAAGATTCTTTCATGTTCCCCTTTGATGTTCCCTTGGTATTAAGCACATACGCTTGAGTGAACTTGGGCTGTATTTTATCTTCAAATGTATATTTTGACTGGCAGTAAAAGGAGGCTTCAGGGACTTTGAGAGACAACAAAGAACATTTTGTTAATCTGCTTTTTTTGACTTATCATGTAACAACAGAGCAAAAACATGCAGTATGTCAATACAATAGGAGCTGTTCGTTTGTATTGCAAGTTAGTGCACCGCTGGGATGACAGGTCTCTTTGAATGTGAGCTCGGAATCTCTAAGGTGTTGGGGAAACATATTCAATCATGTCTTTCCGTGTCTTTTGAAGCTCAGTTACTGAGTTCACACCGAAATGTCTAATTAAAGTTCAATAAGCTGCAGTTGAGAGCATTTTCTGAAGACAGAAACGAAGGTTGAGGGAATCTGTAATACGACATGAAGCCTCTCAGATGTAATGATTAGTTCTTCCCTTTAAGTTTCCTGGCTGTGTGTGTATTTGTGTGTCTTGGTTCAGGAAAGGACAAGTTACGACTGCTATTATGGAGGTGAACCAATTTAAATGTATTCAGCAACAAAGTTTCTGTTAGATTTAAAATTTGAATACATTAGTGTGATTCATTTGGCGTATTGTACGGTGGCCGACAACTACTGCCCAAAACACTTACCTTAGGAGAAACACGCTGTGCTTTCAAAAACAGTGTAAATATAAAAACAAGAATGTGTGCTGTTGTGTTTTGAGGTTATTGCAGCGTTTTTTTTTTTAAATGCGGTGTTTTGTTTTTTCAGTGTTTTGTTTCTGCAGAGCTTTTAATAAACGCTCAAGTTGGTGAATGTTTTTCTAAATGCTAAGCATGTGTTGCCAAGTTGGTGAATATAGCTACATTTGAATGTGCATGGTTTTTGAAATTGCATCAATGGAAGTGTTTTGGGCTGTTTGCCCAAAACTCGTTTGCCCCTGTCAGCCACGGAAGTGTTGCATGTTATATTATACAAATGGGCTAGGACCTTTTGTAATAAGCTAAATCTGATTACACATCAGGCAAAATATGAGGGAAGACATGCGGGCAGACAGAAAGATGAGAAACAAAAATATACATGCAGACATTTAGAAAGAAGGGACCAGACAGGAAGACACTGACTGAAAAATTAGGAAAATCACAGTCTACTCACTCATATTCTCCTCCTCATCCACATCCATGGCTACGGGTTTGATCTGACCTGAGAGCAGCCTTGCCCCCACTGCACCTGAAGATCAGAGGACATAAAGGTGGACTGCATTAGCAAGGACAGAGTGACACACATAAACACATCCGAAGACCCTGAGTGGCAACAGCGATGATACATTACTTGAAGCTCCAGCACGCACACACACAGAGCAAAATGCACATATTGCAGTGTGCAAGCAGCCCGTAATGTAGGCATATAAATATTCAGATACTGAGAGATATCAAGGTGAGAGAGGAGGCCAGGGCTGACAGGCCTTAATAGCAGGAGCAGTCTATTGTGACTTTAATATCCCTCCGATTAGACCTCGTTTCCCACTGCCTGCTGAGAGATATACAGCGAGTGACATGGCCAAGTTACTCCATTACCGCACACACACACACACAACTTATCCCAAGGTGGAGAGTGCGATTAAAGCTCCATTAAGCAATATTTTTCCAACAAGCCTAAAATCAAATGATTCTCTGCAATCTGACGTTCATTCTGCCGACTACACTGATGATGAACACCCAACTCTAAGGCTATTTAGGCACGTTTTAAACTGAAACCATTTTGCCATTATTTAAAAAGAAAAAACATCCATACTTCCACATTTCTCAAATATCTTGGTACTGTACATGTAAGTGTTTTACATGGTATAAGCCACCAATAAATGGCAAATATAAATGTCAACTTGGTCATCCGGTTCGAGATGTGAAATACCAGAGGGTATTGAAAAACCAAAGCAGTGGAAGACACGAAGATAATTAATGAAATGATCTAGAAATGTCAAAAGCATACTTTCTATATTTCAAAAACTATTTAAGAACCACTCAAAGATGTACTCCACTTTAGTATTACATTGTTAGACCCAGAATGGAAAGTAGAAAAATAAAAGATCAAAATCGATGCAGCGATCGAGGCATCACCCTTTTTTATTCCTCTCATTCTTGTTCCTTATCAAAACCAGGCAGCTAAATAACCCAATAATTTCAGAAGAGGAGTTTAGACCACTGGCTGATACTAGCAGTATGCTAGTTACAGAAGTAAAAGTTGTAATCAGCCTCCGCGACATGGCGCAACATAACAATATTGCTGAGAGCAGGGCAGATGAGTGCGGAGTGATGAAACAGACTAACCAAAAAAGTTAGAAGAGGAAGAGAGTAGCAAAGAGGGGAAGACGAAGAGCGGCGAGAGAGAAAGCAGGAGAAAGATGGCATTATGATATAGAACAGATTGTGCTGATTCTACTCTCCCTCCACCCGTCTTCCATCAGTGGCCCCATTCCTCAGCCAGACACTTTCTTAAGCTAAACTAAATGGGCTAATTAATCTGGGCTAATGGTGGGTGACAGCAAATATGCTAGCACAATTATCACCCTATTACAGATTCATATTCCATCCCGTAATTGAAAATGAAAAGGTGGGGTGATCGGAGGATGGGTGGGAGTAGGTCCAACAGAGTGGAAGATGAGTCATTTCTCTCAGGTAGCTGGAGCCAGGTGCCTTGGCCCCCAAGACACTCATCCAGTAGCTCAGAATGTCTTTCAGTGAACAGTAGCACAGAACCAAACTCTGGCTGTAGATGGCCTTTCGTGGTTTTTCATAACGTGTGTTAAAGCCACGTTGTGCTTAAGCCTTACGCTTGAAAAACTGCTGTAACACAAGCTACCTCCTGATTTCATTGCTACCACAGTGGTGTTAGGTCAAGAATGGATCTACAACTACATCCCTAGGTGGCGACAAATCTAACAACCTGTCCCTTATTGGCTATAAATAGTTTAAACATCTTAAGTTAATATTTTTCTATCAAAAACACCCTTTTGTGATGGGACTTATCAACTTTGTAAGTTGTGACCGAATGATTCAGACATTACTCTAGATGTGAAAAGGATTCAATATAATAGACATGATCCGGGAAACGTATTTGATGCCATCCAGCACAATGGGAATCAAACTGAGTTTATGCTATTTACATTTGTTTGTAACTATGTAGGTTGATGTCGCCAGGGAAAAGAAAGTTTGGGGCTCTCTGCTGGAACTGCTACCCCCGCGACCCGACCACGGATAAGCGGGAGAAGATGGATGGATGGATGTAACTATGTAGGATACTTGGGGGATTTCTTCCTTTGGGGAATAATGTTGGGTGGTGAGTTTTATTTATTCATCAATTTCTTCTTTGTGTATTGTTCCATAAGTCATAAAAAGTAATATTGTCCGTATTCACAAATGTTCTTGCAATGTATTTGTCTCTTCATGGTTATAATGTGGCCTGAGTGCAAAACAAAAAGGCTGTTATTTCCCTCTTATACTTCTTCTTCCTCCTTCAGATATCCTCCTCCAACACACACTGCTGTGTAGTTTAATCAGCACGCAATGCAAATGTGTCTGTCAGTTTAGATTTTTTAGATGAGACCGCCTCGGTCATAAATCTGTAACTATTCCTGAAATCAGGTGCAATCAGCAAGGAGAGTCTCACAAAGAATTCATAAAACGAGTGTATGAGTGTGCGTGTCTTGAAAAGTAAATCTGAAGGTAAATGGCTTTGCAATTATAAAGGGCAGAGCACTACAAAAAGAAATGGTTTGTGCATTCTGTGAACTACAATAAACGCTCATATTTTTGTATTAAGTTTGATAAATGTCAACTATTAAAATATCCAATATATTTCTTCAAATAGATCCACTGTGAGTGTACCTCAAAGGTCATCCAATCCAAATGCTGAACAAAAGTGACACATTAGAGTAATCTACAACCAGACTATATATCAACATGACTGATCGTTAATGAAGGGAAAGATATGATACATTGCCTAAAGGAATACCTGAGGCTAAAAAGGCAGTAACATGTTCTTTAATATGGTCCATTGCCTGATTTACCCCTAGGCATTATTTTAATATGACCATCAAACATTTTCAAAGGGGTATAAGCTGCTTTGTTAAAATGACTGCTACATTATTTCAAAAGCAATCAAATAATGATTGAGTCCAAGTAAGCATATACCTTTTGGAATTAACGTATTCTGCTTCAGAAGTTGTCTCAAAGGTTGAAAGTACATTTCTCCAGTATTGGACGTAGCAAAATGCTTTGAATATGAAGAACTGACAGCAACCTGATGTTGAGCAGCACTGAATGAGAATATGTTGTGCTATCAAACAAATATGATTTGGATGCATTTCACAGTCTCCCAATTGGCAATTAGAGGATATCTAACCCATTTAAAGTATGAGCAAAACAAAGGGACACAAGCAAAGCGGAACATCAAAGGTTTTCTGAAGGCGCTTAAGCCTTTTTCTATAAAATCAGCCAATGTTGGACATCAATACCGCAAAACTAATTTAGACATTTGCATGCATGGAGATTCAGGAGACAGATAGATTTTGATATTGACCATTTTTGAACCCACAAATGTGCAGCAGTGGATTTAAAGTGAGTCAAAGGAATCAATGGTGAAGGCTGGCGACTATCTTCCTCCACACGGCATCAAGTCGTGAGACGGCTTGGTTCCAGCGGGTAATTCTGAGTGGACGCCAAGGGAGGCAGGGAAAAGAGAAAGATGAGGAAGAAGATGAAACATTTCAAATTCAATCTGGCACAGGGAGAGGGACTGAGAGGAAATAAGGTGCTTTTGATTTCTCTCTCATCCCTCGCTTGCGCTGTGACGGAGCGATAGAGTATCGCCACCTTGGAGGGAGCGCCAGCCGCGGCCAACTGTCGGGAGGAGGTGGGGGGTTGGCGGGGTGGAGTGCGGGATGGAAAGGTAAAGGTGAGGGGAGAATGGAGGATGAGAGAGATAGAAAATGCAATCTTATTCCAAGTAAAAGAGAATCATTATCTGCTCTAAAACAGAAGGCGATGGAAAAGTCTGCCCTTGGCAGGCTGTGGGCCTCAAACTGTATATAACAAACTCCCTATGAAGTCTAGTGTATGATCCATCAAAATCATTTCAACTTTAGACCTTAAGAAAAACACTGAAAGCCAGAGTTATAAATAATTTAAGATTTCTACTTGCATGAAAGGCTGACCTTCAATAATTCAGAAAAAACTGAAAAGGTAAAAATCTATTTCACCACATTAGTAACTGCCTCTGCAACCGGGTTGTCACGAGTTATAAGCAAAACCTTGAAAGGCCATGCAAAGGAAGCACAAGGGAAAAAAATGACATGGAGTTGAAAGGTCCATTTGAGAAAGTCTCTAAGTGCATTAGCATGGTAGCAACGCATGAGAAACATAAAGGAAACATTTCCCCTTGAGTTGCACAAGGACCAATGGTTTTGCCGAAACACATTCTTTGAGCAACTCTCTCCGATTTGTGCAAGTGTTATTTTTAAATGAAAACTCCCATCTTTGTCCGGCAAATTGTCCACGTACTGTATACCACAAAGATCTTAAGAAACACACTCAAACTAGCATTGTAATTGAAGGTTATATACCTTCTGCACTCTATCGGGCACAATGGAACTATTGGAATGGTCCCAGTGCTTTACCCATACTGTAATGCCTGCTGTTGTACTCTTTGTCACACTTTATCCCCCTGACTTTTCACTGCAAATGGTAAGGGACAGGTTCTTAAAATGAGATGGAGATGGAATAACACAGAATCTCTTTTCAGTCTCCAATATTGCCTTAGATTCTAGGTTTCACTCAACATTTAGCCATTTGATTTGGTGGCCAGTCAGCTTTGAGAGGCCAGAGGCAACCAGAAACACGGGAAGATACAAACATTGGATCATTTTCACTTATGGAAACAGACTTGGTGGACGTTTGGGTTCTCTGAGTGCTCTTCAACTTAACTTCCTTTTTAAGAAAGTAAGTATATTGTGTTGTAGACGTTATCCAATATGATACATTTTTCTTTTTCCATTTCATTGTCAACGTACTTGTTTTAAGTGCTGTATTCCACTTACTGATCACATGCTGGGTACTCTGAACATACTTCATTCTGGCTCATGTTACTCATTACATTGTATATATGCGCTATTTTTGACTGACTGAAGCAACATATTAGTGCCTATTTATACTGCAACCAAAGTATTTATCACA